TACCGAGAGATCCGATCATATTTGTCAAAATTCAGAAAAGGCCTTATTCGAAATAATTACCCCGTTTTTTCCGCTTTTTGGTCTATAACTTTTTTTTTTGAGCCTCCCCCGATTAAAAATTGTTATTTACATTATTCTCTAAGTATAAAAAGTTATCAAAAAAATTTGCAGCCCATTTGCAGGTGGAGCCGTGATTCTGAATAATTACCATTTAAATAATTAAATAAAGTATTGGTATTATTATTTTATTAATTTTATCACATTTTTATTTTTTAAATTATTAAAGGTATTTTTTATTTTTTTGTAACATGTGCAATTAATACGTGCAATTATTTTATTGTAACATATGTCACCCATTTTAAAAAATTTTAATATATTAATTATTAATTAATAAGAATTATATTTTAAGGTAAATATAAGTTTTTGAAAGAAAAGGGGTGTACGGGTGGTCTAGGACACCTTGTATATATGTATGTATTGTATATAATTGTATGTATATATATTTATATATGTATATATATACACACACACACATATTACAAATTTTTCCTTAAATTACAAAAAAATTTTTGCAAAATTATGTACGGGTGGTCAATGGTACATCTTTTTATCCATATATATACTTCATTAATGCTACGTTTGCCGCGCATGCGCGAGAAGACCCGGCCCGTCTCACAACACTGCCTGCGAGCATTCGTGTGCTCCGCTCTCGCATGTTCTCTTTGTAAACATCTTTCATTGTTAAGTCTTTAATCACGGCTAAATAAACCATTGTTCATTTATACCGAGGATGAGTGAGTTAGAGTTTCCCCCTTCTCCCGAATCCTGGCACCGGCGAGCCTGATCCGCGGCGTCGGGAAAGGTTAACCGTTATAGTGTTGTCCAGGATGAACGACGTGGACGTGGCAGGGCTTTCATCTCTTTGAAGTGCTTGATTTACGTGAGTCCCCTTGCCTCTCACGATTCGAGATATACAGGGTGAGTATAATGAAGACGATGTGCGTGTGCTCGTTATCTTGGCAGCTATTCATCTTATTCAAATAGTCGGGTTATGGCTAAAGAAATTGGTATACCGAAAGCAACGATCTTGAGAATTTTGAAGAAAGTGAAGTACCGTGCTTACCATATCACGTCAACACATGCTCTTAGTCAACAGGATATGCAGTTGCGTGTACAATTTTGTCATTGGGCACAACAGATGATCAGAGCTGACCCTAATTTCTTTTATTATGTTATGTTCTCTGATGAGTCGACGTTCAAAAATATGATGAATTTAATAGACATAATTGTCACTATTGGTCAAATGTTAACCCTATTTGGCGTAGACAAGTAGATAATCAGCATCGGTGGAATATAAATGTTTGGTGTGGGATTATAAATGGTTATTTGATTGGTCCTCATTTCTTCGATGGAAATGTCAATAGAGAAAATTTTCTGGAACTTCTCAGGGATCATCTACCACAACTACTTGAAGACGTTGATTTAGATACACGACAGAGAATGTGAATACAACTGGATGGGGCGCCACCTCATTGTGCGGCAATAGTGAGAGGTTATCTAGATCGGGAATACAATGATAGATGGATTGGACGACGTGGACCTGTCGCATGCCTTCCACGATCTTCTGATTTCACTCGACTTCTTTTTATGGGGTTATATCAAAAATGTCTTCTATGAGCATGCGACTACAACCAGAGAAAAAATTATAGGAAGAATACGATTAGCTTGCAAGAATATACCGCGCGCTGTCTTACTCAAAACGGTCAGACATTTACAAAATAGATTGGTATTATGTATTTGAGCCAACGGAGATAATTTCAAACTGTTCCTTCGATAAAAAGCTTTGCAAATTTGTGAAAAGGGATGTGACTTCCGTTAATCAAGCACCCCGAATCATGAGAGGCAAGGGGACTCACATAAATCAAGCACCCCGAATCGTGAGAGGCAAAGGGACTCACATAAATCAAGCATCCCAAATCGTGAGAAGCAAGGGGACTCACGTAAATCAAGCACCTCAAAGGGATGAAAGCCCCGCCACGTCCACGTCGTTCATCCTGGGTAACGCTAAGCACGAAAAAATGCGTGTCAATCGGTCTGGAGCTGGTGGACCATCAAACAGAATTAGTCCAGATAGTGGATAGGAACAACACACACGCACAGAGGTAGAGGGCGGTTTGGAGTCATAAAATACGCACACTGTATAGAGGTGGAAGTTTTTTACTTAAATTATAAACTTCGGAACACTGTAACTTAGTGAAAAATGATCCAATTTCAAAAAACGAAAAACTGTTGTATTCGTCTCATTGTTAGCTACAACTTTTATTTCCAGAAAAAATCGACTTCCATTTAAAAAAATAGCCGCCATGATGAAATCTCTAAGGTGGCGCCATCTACAGTTAAACTGATACTATCATCATCTTTCCCCCTCGAGGCCATAAAACTTTTGTCTGAAACATGGTCCACCCGGTATACACGGGGTGGACTATTTTAATCAATCCACGCGAATATCTCGAAAACTGAGCCCGATAGACAAAAATGTTTCAGACAAAAGTTGCATGGTTTCGAGGGGGCCACATAATAGAAATATGGACTTGACCTTGAGTGATCTTTTTAAGGTGAGGTCAATGTGATCGATGTTTTCTTAAATGTAACCTTCCATTTTTATTGCATATTTTTACAGCTTATTTCCAGAACTTTTCAAAATACTATAAAAAAGTATTTTCTTATTAAGTACTTTTTGAGTTATTTTATATCTTAATCTGACATATTTTGATATAAAAATAAAATATCTCGTAAAATATTTTTGCTTCGTTTTGAAGAAAATCGCAAAAAATGAAACAAATAACTTTCATCAAAAAACTTAAAACAACATTAAAATTATTAGATTTACCAAAAAGTATTATAAAATAAAAATTAGAAACAAAATTGATCATGGTTTAAAACCAATGATCCGTATTGACTTTTGTGAGAATCAATATTAAGTTCAAAGAGAAAGTTTGTGAAAGCGAATAATTACTATTCAAAAAGTGTCACGCATGCATGCAAATTTTGAATAACCTTCATTTTGACTTTAATATTGATCCCTGCGAATATCAATACCTTGGTTTGGTCATTTGTCCTTGAGGAATTCTCTCTCTCTCTCTTTCTCTCTCTCTCTCTCCCTCCTCTCCCTCTTTTCCTCTCTCCCCCTCTCTCTCCCTGTCTTTTTTCCTTCCCCCCTCTTTCTCCCTTCTTCTCTCTCTTTACCTGTCCTTTTCTTTCTCCCTTCCTCTCTTTCTCTAACTATGTATATTAAAATATCTTGTAGAATAAATTTACTTAAAGTATAACACGAAGTATAAATAATTGTCGAATACATACTGTAAATAGAAATGGCGTCCTCAAATTGCATGATGAATGTTGAAGAAATTTCATAATAAGATCACAACATGCTGGATCTGCATTAGGCTGTGATATTTTTCGTAATATGTAGCTTAAATATAAACCAAAAGCTTTCCTTGCTTCACCAGGACTGAAATATTATTCATTTGGTCTAATGTTTTCATATATAAAAAAAGAAAAAGAAGATAAATGTTGACTGATATCTGTTATATAAATTTTAATAACAAACCTAAGTTTGTTGCCTTCTTGCATTGATTGTATTACTTGGCTTTTATATTTGTGCATATCTATATCCAAATTTTCCTTATTATTCCTTCTATCCAAAGTTTGTTTGTGACCTTTTACCAATGCTCTTTCGTATCGTTCGTATCTATAATTAAACACTTATATTAATTAACTTTTACAAAATTAAACAGAATGCATTATAATTTATAACTATAATCATGGACACTCCCGCTTTCCCTTCAAGGGAGGCGAGGAATAAATTCATAATTTCAAATGGAACCCGCTATAAAATGTTACATATTTCGATTTTATGAAAAAAAACAGGTAAGTTGAATCTGCAACATTTGTTTGAAAAATGCTTCTACTAAAAGTTATAAGCATTTTAATTCTAAAATAGAGTGCATTCAAACTAATGCTAAAACTATAATTTAAATAAAAGACCAAAGTTTTTATGTTTTTTCACTTTATTAAATGTTCGAACTGTTATCCATTCTCATTTAAACACTAATTATTCGTTTCTATAAAATTTTGGCTAACCTAACCTAACCTAACCCAGATAGCACAAGAATGTCCTTAGGACATCCAGGATATACATGTAGGATATCCTGAAAACATTGCATTTTAATCCTCAGATCTCCTCTGGACGTTCTAAGGAAGAGTAAATGATAGCCGAATATTAGCCTTTGGAGAATCCAGAAAGATTCTGTGGAACATCCTAAGGATCTCTATAGGATATGTTAGGGATATTTTTCATACGTTTCAAGGAGCAAATTCTGAAATTGAAATATAAATTAAGATTGCGTTCTGTTATTTACTGCCAATACTAAAAATCTAATACTGAAAATATTTCACGTTCTGCGACATTTGAAGCTTCCGTGATGTACATGAATATATTAGGTTTGGCTTGATCGGTTTTGAGGGTTTGAGCCGTGTAATATATATATATATATATATTGTGACGTGACGTTTTTGGGGACGTCCGTCTCAAGATGTCTAATATTAAAAACATTTTATATGGCTGACAAACATCGCTGCCGGTAAATTTATATTTCTTATGGCAGGAAAAGAGAGCGATGGGCCGGAATAATCCGGCCAAAGGGACGGCCACTCCACCCGCACGAAGCGAGGGAGTCCCAAGGACGGAGCGGCGAGCGGACTTTCAACGCGGAGTCTATTCGACCAAATAGGATAGAGAGCCGATCGGGCGCAGCCGTAAGCCCGCACCTTTAAGCCGAACAGTTGAAAATCTAGGAAACTCCGGGACGATGAACCCACCAACACGGCCGTGATAACAACAAGGATCGCGAGGACCGCAGGACGGCCCTGCGTAACGCGAAAGCGCCACAGGTGGTACGATAGCGATTTATCGCGCCGGCGTGTCTCCTGCAGGACTCTCGCTCGGCATTGTTCGGCGAGATAGCGAGAAGGACGCAGGCCTCGTAGAGCGTATCCGAATTATCGAACAGAAAGGACAATCGAAAGCTTCCGACCGGTGGGACGAGTGTCGCCAGCCCGATTTTGTTGCCGATTACTTGTAGGTAATTAATTCGGATGAGTCGCGCCCTTAATAGTTGTCGAGCCACGCGTTTTGGTGAATTAACTTTGTGAACATTTTGGTAGATTAAGTCGCACGGCCGACGGGCACACGTCGCTCATCCGAATTATATAAAATAGGCTCTCTCTATTCATTTCGCCGCCGCCGACAGTCATTAATGTTAGCTTCGCGTCTGTAATTATTACATGTTGTAACGTATCGGGATTTTCACGCTCGCGCGATCGATATTCCGGATCGCGCAAAGTATTGCGTCGTACGACTCGTACACCACAGTCGTCACCGATAGTTTTCGTATTCTTTTTGAGTATTGTTAGCATTTATCTTGTACACGCTATGCGTAATTAGAGTAAGGAGAAAGCGTAATTCTCCGATACCGAGCAGAGTATCTATCGGGTGTTTGTGACCCCATCGGTAGTTTTCGTGAGTCATCCGAGTAATATACGTGGTGTATTCCAAACAAAGGTCGTCGTTATTATTATTGAGGCACATTCCAGCACCACGAGCTGTATTAAGAGACCGATTCGAGTCGTAACACCGGGAAATTTATATTGTATTGAAGCGGATTCACGGGCGTGCGTAAAGTAGTTACCGGCCCATTCGAGAGATTTGTTTAGTTGTCGCGGCCTAATTAAGTCTCGTACGGCGGAAATTCTCGCGGCCGAAAAGTCGAGTTAAAAGCGTGTAAGACGCCCGGTAATTTGATACTGTTGCGCACGATCGTGTTGATATATATATATAAAATCGAAATAATAAATCCATACGATAAAATCAACAAAAATTAAATAAGCATTCAAAGACCAGCGCAGTAAATAGGGCACACAAAGTTAAATTATTAATTATATAACTTACATAAAGCACGAAAAGGCGTACGTTCTACTCCCTTTTAGAACCATCTTCAGCGCGTGTAAGAAATTCAGTTAATAACCAAAGGTAGAAAATGTATGATACATGTCGATACATGATGTATCGAGCAGTCATAAAGTTAAAAATATATATGAGTAGTCAATAATACTAAAATTCGCTTCGAATATGATATTCCATACTGATAAAAAGGAGTTCCGTTCTCTCAATGCATAACCTCGAAATTAATCCAAAAACTCCGGAATGCGTCACTCACCGGTTGAAAAGCCGGGGAGCGTGAGCAGTATTTATATACTCGGTTGCAAGCACAACAACATGCAACAAGGCAATAGTTCCTGATATATCTGAAATTAGAGTAAGAAAAGCGGAGCCACGCACACCAAAAAATGAAAAAGAAAAAGATTACAATTAGATAAATTAACTTATAGAGATGATCGAAAGAACAAAGCATTGCGCTCAAAAAATATATGCTCAAAATTCAATTAAGTAAGTAATATAAATATCGTGTTACAGAAAGGAAAGAAATGATAAGCACTAAAATCGAGCATCATATGTAACGACGAGTCAAGCGGGTAAATAATGTATTTCTTTAAAAAACGGTTGCGAATAATGTGATAAAGATAGTACATCAATCGACGCCTAAACATATATATATTCAGAGCTTGTATAGCGCAGATTTCAAAGTTTCGTAAGTTTATCAATAACGTTGACATAAGTATGTTGTAAGTTCTCAGTGTCCATCCGCAAATTCAGGCTATTCTGCCTTTTTATATAAATCATTTCAGAGATCAACCGTTTATGGAAAATTGGTTTACTATCCAAAATTTCAATCTCGTTCCATTTAAAATTGTGATTAAAGACTTGTCTATGATCCGTTATTACAGAATGAGTAGTAGTGTTCTATCCAATATGATTTCGGTGTTCATGAATTTTTGTTTTTAATTGTCTTCCCGTTTGGCTCACATATGATGCATCACAATTGTTGCAATTTATCTTGTAGACGACATTATTGCGCAAAGTTGTCAAAAGAGGATCTTTCTGGATTTTAATAAAATTACGCAGTCTATTAAGATTGTAATATGAAAGTCTAACACCGAGATCATTCGTAATATTCTTGAATTTCCCAGATATTGAAGGGACATACGATATAGTGAAGTACGACACAACTTCATTTCTAGTAGTAATAGAATTTGCATTGTTCAACTCTAAGTTGTTAAATAAAGCCTTTAGGCGCTCGTGGAAAACCCGAAAAATAAATTTTAACAGATAGAAATTTTCAAGTAAGATTCTGATCACGAAGTCGAGGTTCTTTGAATGAAAACGCGGATGTGATAAGAGAAATGATCTGTCGATTAGACCAATAACTCTCTTACTTCTTATCTCGTACCTCTTTTTTGACATAAAGGATGGCAAGAAAGAAAGCTCATGTATCTCCCTGAGAACGTCGGCTTGTGGTACCAGTTAAATATTAACCGTTTATTGTTAAGTATAATCTTGACATCAAAAAGATCAAAGAATTATCCTCGCTACTTTCCATTGTAAATTGCAACCTGGGATGGAAGGCGTTAAAAATGTCTAAGGTCTAGTGGAACAAGAGGAAGGAACAGCCAGTGCAACATTCAACGTAACGAGCATAAAACGATGGAGTAAATTTCAATTTCTTTAACGCAACATTCTCCAAATCCTATAGAACTATATTAGCAATATTCGGGGAGAGTGGGGAACCCATCGTGCCGAAAGTTTGTTGATATATAATATCATCAAACGTAAAATAAGTGGAATCAAGAACAAGTTTCACTGTCGAAAGGATTTTGTTTCTGGGAATGCTGCAATTCTCAAAGATATAATTCCATTTCTCAGAAACGCTATTAATAGCAGTAGCAGTAGGTATGTTAGTAAAAAGTGAAATAACATCCAAAGAGATCAACTTAAAATTATCGTTGACTTGTATATTGGAGAGTTTTTTAACTAGTTCGAAACTATTAGATATATGACTATGGGCGATGGGAAAACTTTTAAACATGATGCGATGTAAATAGAGAGCTAAATTATATAACGGGCTGTTTAAGCACGAGACTATGATTCGAAATGGCAACTACGAGGGCTGTATGATAAGTACCCGTGCTAGGGAAAATACAATTTTTGTTCAAAACGTTTTTCTCTAAAATGCTTAGTTTTTGAAAGAAAAGGGGTGTACGGGTGGTCCTAGGACACCCTGTATATATACGAGGGCTGTATGATAAGTACCCGTGTTAGGGAAGGAAACGCATTTTTTTTTAATTTTTTTTATCTATTTCTCAACATAGTCTCCTTTCAGCTCGATACACTTAGTCCAGCGATATTCCAACTTTTTTAAGCCATCCAAAAAATATGATTTGTCGAACTCTGCAAATCGGGCGCTCTTCATCAAAAACAGATGTTCGGCCACGCTTGAATTCATTGAACCAATATCTGATGGTAGTTATCGAAGGTGCATGGTCCTTATAAACGGCATGCAACTTCACTTTGCTTTCCTCACACGTTTTCCCATCCAAAAAAAGGAAACTGACCGATATTGCTCTTTATCCATGGTTGCAAACAAACACAAACTTGCCCACTTTCAACAGCTATCAAAACAAAACTACTCGATAAATCTGTCTGAAATTTTGACAGGCGTCGTTCGAAAGATGGCGTTAAGCGATGATATATAGATTTTGAGTCAGTGGCGCTATCAATCGTTAAACACGGGT